CTCATGTATTTTGGTAGATTAACCCATGTTTCACACAGGGGAGGAAATGAATCCCAGTTATTTTAGGTACATATGTTTGATCCACTATCTGGACTATAAACTCTTCTGGGAAGAGACGGGTTTCTTTTGCTTTAATGCCCCTCTGTAGAGATTATAAAATTTTTTCCTTGGGGGAGATATCAGATATCTTTTCCAGTATTGTCAATAATATGTAGATATCTTTGAATTTCTGTTTTAAGTTACTATCTTTCCCATAGCTATTCATCTTGGTTACTGGAAGACATAAACAGTTTGTGAGTTCAGGCCTCGGGAACAGATAACAAGCTCATGGGAAAGGGCAATATCACAACTAAATGGGAATGTAAATGGGGAACCAAATAGGATGAAATATCACCATTACATATTAGTCTCAGGAAAGTTGTCCTATAGCAAGCAAATCCCTTTTTTTCTGGTTTGACAATAACATCAACATGTAAAGATAACATAGAGATGAACTAATAAATACTAATAAATCCTTTATTTACTTAACAGGATGGGTCACAGATTTTATTTTCTTTAAATTATTAACATGCTATTAATTACATATTGCCTTTTGCCACATCTATCATAAACTACAGCATTCTTTTTTTTTTTTTGAGACAGAGTCTCGCTTTGTTGTCCAGGCTAGAGTGAGTGCCGTGGCATCAGCCTAGCTCACAGCAACCTCAAACTCCTGGCTCAACGATCCTTCTGCCTCAGCCTCCGAGTACTGGACTACAGGCATGAGCCACCATGCCCGGCTAATTTTTTATATATATATCAGTTGGCCAAAAATTTTTTCTATTTATAGTAGAGACGGGGTCTCCTCTTGCTCAGGCTTGTTTGAACTCCTGACCTTGAGCCAATCCGCCCCCTCAGCCTCCCAAGAGCTAGGATTACAGGCGTGAGCCACCGCGCCCGGCTAGCATTCTTTTTAATATGGGTTTTTTTTTCAGTTAATACAAGAAGGGACAGAGATGTCAAAGGAGTAGAAACTTCGAGACACGTAAACAGAGGAGAAAAACATGTTTTTTTCTATTTAAATCATAAAAGCTCATTAAAAGATAATAAAGCAAAAAAATATATGACCAAAAATAACAAACTATTTTTAGGTATTAGCAATTTTAAAATAAGATAGTGGCTTTGATGTAACTGCAGTTACATCAAAGTTAAAGTTAACTGAGTTCATGTCCACAAGAATTTACAACAGTAAAAAGTACTTAGGGTGAACTTTGAGAATTTATTTTTAGGGAGATATATATAAAGTTCATTTGTAAGGAACTGGAAATCCCATAGTTTTAAATCTGCATACAAAGCTTATGTCTTATTCTTAAGACTCAAGAGGCAGGAATATAGGGTTTTTGGTATACAGAGTAGCAATTTGCCTATAATTTTCTATTTTGTCTTGATCTTTAATTTTTCTTAAAAAGCACTGTAGATATTTTTCTCTTTCTGATCCCTGGCATAAAATATGAATTTTTTATTTTAAAACATCTTCAAAGGTAGTAAAGTTGGTTTGTAAAAGGAAATTTTACTTCTCTTCAAGGTAAGTCACGGTGATGCAGAAACTTTTATCCAGGAAGAGAGTTAAATTATCAATATTTAAAATATGGAACTAAAAGGCTCTGTTTCCTGGTCCAAACTTAAGGTCTCTGCTATAGGTACACATAATAGGCCTTTATACTCAATTTCTGTTCTGTCTGTATATTCTTTGTTTAGGAAGTTTATTTAAAATTTGCTTTATCCTCAACAGGTATACTTTTAAGGAAAGTGTTAATGAAGCTCCAGGGTAAATGATTTTGCAATAAATGAATTACTTGAAAAGTTTTTTAAAAATTGCTGATGAAAGAAAGAAACGAGGAAGGAAGGAAGGAAAGAAAGAACAAAGGCAAGGTCAAGGAATTTGCCTTGATGACTTTTTCTTTTCTTTTCTTTTTCCTTTTTGTAGGAGACATACACTACTACTCAACATTTATTATAAGATTGGCAGCTCTAAGAATTCCCTTTTAAATGCAACATGTTATAGATGTATTCCTGCTCCTCAAGGAATGAAGAACAGACATCTCCACATGTAGCTCAATCACTTTTTAAACCATATTTACTTTTTTGTACCATTGCTTAGATGCTTGCAATGATTGAATGGCACATATTTTCTCTAGTTATAAGCATAAATACTAGGAAGGTATTTATTTATGAAAATAAGTACCAGTAGTTTTCCTGGAAGAGTCCTTTGAAATCAATCTTCTTGGACATCAGAAGATTTTTCCACTACATACAAGGTCTATTTCTATCATGAGAACTTGTGCAGCTTTGTAAATTCTTTAAGGCTTAGGTTCTTAGTTTTCATGGCAGTGCCCTTTCCCAATTATTCCACACACTGGGATATCAGAATTATTGTTAAATGGATCATTAAAATGACAGATCAGATCCTTACACCTGACTAAGTCCTAAGTGTAAATTAGGTGCTGTGGGAATATGCACACTGTCTTTTGAATCACTAGGGTGATATTACTGCACTGAAGCACAGGTAATAATTTATGAACTCTGGTCAAAATAGCAGCTGAAGATTAAAAACTGATGGTGAGTTTGCCACTACTGATAGAGTATTCTTAACAACTGCCTTCAGAATGCCACTTTTCTAATTTGGGGCTCACCAGCTTAAATAAATATTTGTATTTATGTTTTATTTCTATTAATATACTTATGAGAAAACATTTAGATTTAAGAAATACCAAGGGTAAGAAAATTCATATGAAAAATACTCAATTTGCCTCTATAAAAAAACCCCACATTGCTTTTTACTCAATTTAAAAATATAAAAGATCTTTCTGAGACCTTCTCAAGCATTGTTGCTTTAATACCCTTAATTTTTAGAAATCAATGAATATTTTTGAGTGGTACTGTATACAAAGCATTGTACTGCTGAATTCATCCAAATCGTGTACTATTAATTGATATAATTTCTTAGTTCTTGCCTTAATGAATTTGACTAGTATAGGTCAAGAGAACATGGCCAACGAAATATCTTCTTTAGAAATGGAACTTTCATCTTCTCAAGGTCATTAAGAATGTTATCTAAAAAGTAACTTTGGGTAAATAAAATGTGTTCATAAAATACTGCAGGAACATGTTGCAGGAACCAAACAGGACATACTCAGACAGGTAAAATCTGCTTTTGCCTCAACACTGATTCACTTTGAAAGTAGCTTTCCAGTGTACACTTCAAACACAGAAGCTGATATTGCTTGTTATCAGATTATAAACACAATGCTTATATTATCAAAGAATTCATTTTTTCCAAACATCTGATTTATCTTTTAAAGAAATGGTTATGTAATATTAAGTTACTTTTATGTCAGACGTAGGAAATTAAAGTTCAAAATATCTTAGAGTTGGAATTTTTGAAAGGCAAAAGAAAAAGAAAGTAAATTGACTGGGGTTAAGAGAAGTAGAGCATGGCGCACAACTGTTCTTGTCTGTCTTTTATTTTTGTGCCACCCTGGTTATAATATAAAAGATTCTTGGCAGATACGGAAAAAAAAAAGCGCAAGCTTTTGAAACAACTTTTTTTTCCTTTTTACTAATTAAAGGTATTTTGGAAACAGCTCCTTGCATTCTTCAAAGGGATTAACAGCAACATGTTATGCTGAGTAAAAAAAAAAATTAGTTTCTCTTCTGAAATGTCCTTTGTAAAGGGTGGGTAACTACTAAATTCATTTTCATATAAACATTAAAATTTCTTGATCATGTTCCAAGTCTTTTGGAACTGCAGAAAAAGCAACAGTATCAACTACAACAAGATTCTTGAATTTTGGGCTATACTGTAACAACCACATAAAATACCACCCTGTCAGAAGGGTATTTCTTAACTTATTGCCTCAATCTTCTTTTTTTCACTTTAAATAAGAAGTAGGAAAGTAACTAAAGAATTTTGTATCACATAAAATATCCTCTGGTGGATTTTTGTTTTGTTTTGTTTACAGAATTAGCTTTTATCTTTGTGCTTTCCATCTCAAATTCAACTACATTCTGATGAAGTAAACCCTATCCAAACAATGTAAATAGATATTTCAATAATAAATAATAGCAAGTTGTATTATACAAACTTCCATTATATGGAGACCTGCTTAAAGAAAATGTAAACTTATAAGAGGTATAAAGTAGGTTCTTGATTCACTGAATATTCTCCAATTTACCCCCAATTTAAAGTACTGGAAGAGATCTGACACTGGAGAAGGTCTATGCATTGATTATCACCTTAACTCCAACTGGCTGAGAGGTTCCCCACTTGAATGACATTGGATTTGGGCTATCCAATTTTCTGTACTGTGCAACTGCAAGCAATAATAATTTTTTCTTTGACTAGGAAAAAGGAAATACTATCAGAACTTTTTTTTTTTTTTGTAGAAGAAATAGCTGCCTTCAGGAATATGGAGTTGAGATGCTCTACTCCAAGCTCTACACTGCAATGTATTTTGTAATGAGGCATTTGAATTCTCAGCTGACATTGCTGCTTACTCTATGCCTACCCATCTCTTTGAAGGAACACTTTCCTTATGTCTAGCAGGTGGGATATATTAAGGCTTGAGATAAGCAATATATTTTCTTGTAACAAAGCCATCCCCCTGCAATTGCTTCTTTGAAAAAGCAATATATGATGATGAAAAAATGTGATTCACTTTACAAAAATGCATTTACAAGCAACTTTTCAGGAACATAACTCTTTTGCTAAGGCAGGAACATCTGTATTTACAACACAGATCTGAAACACCTACATGTTTTTCTGTATAACAGAGCATGTTTATCTTGGCTGACACAACGTTTTATCCTCATATTTGAGCAGGAATTTATAAATAGGTCATTCTTGGTATTTTAGTTAGAAGGACATTTAGGCTTTAGTTTTGATGTAGGGAAAACAATGAAATATAACAGCATAAAATATCATATTAGTCTTTTCACTTTTCACATGCATGCAAAATTACCATCTGAAGTCTTCTTTAGTTCAGTTTTCAGTTTTTCCTTCTCATCTATTAGTGTTCTGTTTTCTGCTTCCAAAACACGGTCCTCATCCTTGCTATAACTTTTCAAGATCTATCACAAAAGAAGTAAGCTTAGAATGTAGCAGCCAGACATTATTACAGAAAATAAGCTGAGTAACCTATTCACAATTATTGATATTTAATTTTTTGTCCTTTTTGATATTTTATAATTTCCTACAATGGAGTTTTGCTAACAGAAACTTAATATTTGACAAACACACATAAAGATTTTTTCTTATTATGGCTGAAATCTCTAAAATGAAAATAAATAGAAAAAATTAGCTGGATATGGTAGCCCACACTGATAGTCTTAACTACTCAGGTGGCCGAGGCAGGAAGATTGCTTGAGTCTAGGTGTCTAGGAGTTTTGAGGATGCTGTGAGCTAGGCTGAGGGCAACAGAGTGAGACTCTGTCTCAAAAAAAAAGAAAAGAAAAGAAAGAACAGAATTTTGGTTGCTATGATTAAAATTGTTTACAAAAGTAAATACTGTGAGCTTCTCTTCCTCAATTAAGTGAAAGATATAAATCTATGGAGAAAAAAACAGTTCTGAGGATGGCATTAATTGGAAAACCATTATGTTCTGATTGAAGAGCTATCTATTCAGACTATTTTTATACAAATTTAAAAGAAAGAATATAACATTGTCAGGGTGGAGATGGGTAAGTGGAAAATGACAGAGCCATCTCTATAGTTGGAAAATTCTATCTAATTTTCATTGAATAGTCTCCAAATTACTTTTATTCAGTTAATACTTTACAATGCTCTTTATATTTTAAAATCTATTCTGGATTTTAAAAATGTTTATGTTTGTAACTTATCTTTTCTAGGCAAGAGAAATTAAGGTCCGAATAGTAAAACAATTGATCAAAATAAAAATACATAGTAAAAATTTCATAATATGTACATGTAGATAGAAACTATCATTATTAGAACTAAGAAGATGACTTAAAGAAATGATAAGGAATTTAACTTATTAAGAAAGACAAAATAAGTGTTTGACAAATAAAATATGTACACATTGGCATGGTCATTTGACTAAATAAAGTAGCAGCAACTTGATATAACTTCTATAGTAAGGTAAAAAAGTAATTCAGGAGAATCTTAAATTCCTCTCTGTAAGAGAGGAATTTCTACTGCAGGGTGATTCCTTTTCTAATGTAAGCTGATATATTCAACCAGCAAAACTCTCAGAAAGTTCTACTGAGCAATGACTACATGCAAATATTTTATAATGCAAAGTGCTATAAAGGGACAAAAATGTGAGAGAAACACAATCTCTACTATCAGGTAACTTCAATCTAGTAGAAAGGATGAGATAAGAGCATAAAAACTATAGCACAAGACCAAATGAAATACTACTGTGCCATAACAGAGACTAGGCAGCTCAGAAGGAGGAATTAAAGCTCTAATGCATATATTATATTATATAATCCCCAGAACTATGTTTTGGAGATAAAAGAATTGAAGTACATTTTGAAACTGAAAAAGCTTCATACCATACCTTTAAAAAAAATTTTTTTTCAAGAGCAAGATGAGAAAAAAAGTTTCTCCAAATCTATTAATTTGTTGCCCACTTCAAGTTCAAAACAACCCTAGCTGTTACTTACTGAATTCAGTTCATACAATCTCCAGTGATTACCCAAATTAAAAGAGAACCACTGAGTTGCAGGAATGTTTTCACTGACTACTTGAATTATTATGCCATTGACTTGGAAAAGTTGGATTTGTGTCAGTCTTGTAAATAAGCTTTCATTACTGCACTTGAAAACTTGTCCAAATTTATAATGTGGACAAGTATATTTTAAAAATATAATTTATAACTTGATGCTGGAGAAAGACCAAGTGCCCTGAAATCTAAAATTCAATAGCTACCAGCTATAACAATCCAAGTGTTCACTGTCCCACCCACCTTATCCCACACCTTGGTTTAAGTGGCTGGAAAAAAAAAAATCAGTGAGAAGTAAAGCTCCACCACTTAAATCAGTTAAATTAAAAGATAATTGATCTTTCATATTAATTACTTCATTGCTTTAAGTGAGTATCAGAACAGAAAGGGGACTTAGGCACCAAATGCAAATCATTTTATAGAATAGCATGGGAGTTGAGGGCACAAAACAATGTAGTTAAGAGTGTGGGTTCTAGAGTCAGGCTGCTTGGTTTCAAATCTTAGTTCTATCATGTATTAGCTAAATGATTTTGTGCAAGTCACTTAACTTTGCTGTGCCTCTGTTTCCTCATCTTTAAAATGCAGAAAATAACAATATCAACCTCGTGGGTTGTTGTGAGCATTAAAAGAGTTAAAACCTTACTGTTGAAGCATTTGAGGCAATACCTGGCATAGTGCTATTATTTATAACTAAGGAACTTTGGGGCCCAGAACACATGAGGTGACTTGCCCAGGTCATATAGCTAATTACTAGTAGAGCTAATTACTAGCACCCAAGTCTCCTGGATCTCAGGGTAATGAGCCTTTCTCTAGATAATATGTCTCTGATAGAGAATGAAGAGGTGTTTTCACAATTTTATCTTTCCTTAGCTAATATATCAGAACCTGCATGAAGTACCTTAAAACAGAAGCTGTCTTTGATATTCTCACCTATGGCCTTTATTGGTCACTTTATTGGTCAAGTAGCTATACTTTGGACACTGACATTTCTTACATATGGCTCACAGACTTTCTCCCTACTGTGGACTGGCTTTAGCCCAGCATATCTATGCTTCCTCTAATGATATAGGGGGTCACAGCCACCCAGGATGTAGGGCATTAGGACAGTATGGAACCAAAGGGGAGGAAAACAAAAAAAGAATAAATCACGTGGGGTTCAAGGAATCAATAATCATGAAATAAGTTTCCTTGCAAGAGTAACTCGCTCTGAAATCAATTCCAAGAGAAAAGCTGCAAAAATATTTTGAGGAAGGTGTTTTTTTTTTTTTTTTTGAGGGAAAAGACCAATTTAAGTGCATTGATTATGATATATATGAAAAAAATAATAGCATTCAAACTTTACAAAAATACTTTCCATTGTCTTAGAGCTGAAGAATAAAAGGGAAACAACTAAAGAGGAAAAAAGCAGTGTTGTAATAGTTACAACTCATTAATCTCTGGTGACATGTATAATTTTAAAACAAGATAGGTACACAATAAGTCCATCTACCAAAAGAAGGCCATGTGTTTTTTAATTTAGCCATCATATATTAATCAAAACTTTGATGACTATGTTTTTGTTTTTACCATTGTGAAATGAGATCAAAGGATAGAAAATGAAACAAATAACATTAAAGATTTTAAATATTACATACAATTATCAATCTTGCATCAACTACCTTTCTCTGTTTTCTACATAACCAATTAAAAGAAAACAAAAAATTGGGTTTAAAAAATACTTCATCTGAAAAAGAAATGGAAACAGAGAGAGTTATAAAGACTTGCTTTAGGTTGTAAAGTTAATGGTAATGAAGGAATTACAATTCATATTCTCAGAATATAATTTTTTCCTTGAATCATAGGAAATAGGGTCCAGTGGCTTAATCTATTATGGGGAAAAACTGTGGGAACAAGCAAATATAAAGAATAGTTCATTATATAGAATATTGTTCATTATGGTTATTTTCTGCTTATAAACTGTGAAATTGCTCTTTTTGATGAGGAAAACTAATATATCACTCCTTGGGAACATTAACAACATTTATACAAACTTTTACAAAGAAAATTTAAATACCCATTTTAGTCTTTCATTCTCTTCCATAAATTTTTTGGCAGCCTTGTTAGTATTGTCTGCTTGAACTTTAAGTACTCCTTTGTTTGACAGTTCTTTTGCCAGCTGAGTAATAAGTATAACCAGACGTCTCAAAACTCTAAGAAAAAAAATCAGAATAATGTATAACTAGATTAATTATCAAAAACTGTGACATTAAAACAAACAGTCACTGTTAAATGGCTGAAAGGAGATAATGTTTAAGTGGAACATGATTTTTTATTTTTAAAATCTAAGTCTCCCAGTCAAAACAAGCCTATGTCTCTTTCCTTTGGAATCTTTGTTAGAAGACCAGCATTTGGAATACAGGTTAAATGGAATTTATTAATTTCTTATCTAGTAGAGAGGTCTTTAGCCTGGAGGAGTAGAAACAGGAAAACTTCAGACAGTACGGCAGGGCCAGTAAGAGAAGTCTTTTTTTGGCCCAGTTCAAACTGCTATTTAAAGAGCATTGTATAAGGTCAGTCAAACCTAAAAACTGCTCATTCATATCTGTTTATGGGTAACTTCTATTGTTAGAATAACTTAGATTATTCATTCAGAAGATATTTATTTACTCAAGAACTGCTAAGTGTTAAACACTACTTGGCACTGGGAACACAGCAGGAAAAACAAAAAACATCTGTGCCTTTAAGGAATTTAGTTCTAGTTGGGGAGGCAAGAGTTAAGATAGTATTTAATTATGACCATGAATGATACTAGAAAATAAAGTATATATATATGTTTTATGAGAGCTTATAAGAGACCTATCTACTTTGTGGGTAGTGATAGCCACAGAAGGCTCTCCTGAGAAAGAGGCTAAAGGATGAGTAAGAGTTAGCCAGGGAAAGGAAGGTAAAAAAGGGAGGGAAAGAGTGTTCTGGCATAAGGAATACCCTATGTGAAGACCCTGCAGTGGGAAGGAGGTAGGTACATCATAGAACTCAATCATTATTTGTTGCAAGATTGAATGAATGAATAAATAGTAAAGATTGGTGTGGGTGGAATGATTTGTACATGTAAGAGACACTTTTGAGACAAAGCTTCAGAGAGAGGCAGGGCTTATGGACTTAGCAAACCTACAAGCTGAAACTATTGTTAACTATTTGGGTATATCATCTGAGTTCTTTTATGGAGATGTTAGTTTTAAAAAAATCACTGTAGTATAGTGGGAAAAATGAGAAAGAGAAGCACAAATCATATTTTAAAACTGTGATTCTATTTTTTTTACTTACAGCCAAAAAAATAATGAAAATCCAGAAATGTAAAGATTTCTTTGAGCCCTAAAAAGTTTCATTTGCGTATGTTCATAGGCATCAGGTCTGCTGGTTGAGCTCTTCTCAAGGGCATGAGTAGTGGAATATTTCCTTACTTCTCTCACAGCATCTATTACAGAAAAAGAGAAAACATTACTTTTGGCTTTTAAGAATATACATTTATTATAAATGGAAAGCTGTTTTGGAATAACTGACCAAATTTTTTATTAATAGGCTTTAGGTATAGGAGCTCTTTTTTCCCCCCTCCACAGTACCTGGGAAGGTATTATGCTCAAAGTAGGTGTTCTGTCATTGGATACTAGTGGTAAATTTTGAATTACGATAGATTTTTTTTTTTTTTTACCATTCATCTAGGACTTACTATCATTTTATAGTCTCTCATTTCTAGCTACACTGCAAGATATTATCCTTTACTCTTTTGATCCCTAAGGATGACTAAAATTCAACCTATTGACAATGACAGATGTCATATCCCATTATAATCAATTCCAAGAGATCATCCCATTTCTTTTAATATACTAGCATTTTATTATATCTATCATTACTTTAAATTATTGAGATTTTAGAAATACTTGGGTACACTGAAATTTCTACTGGCATAAGTTTGTTAGAATGGAATTTGCTCTATGATGGTATACACTAGCCCTGACTGGCATGTATATGGCATCTGCTACTGGAAATGATCAGATGGCGGCTCCTTTGATGCTTTCAGTTCTGGTAAATCTCAGATCCAGGGGAATTATTTCTTTCCAGTGGGAAATAAGACATCAGCTTACTAGTGTCTATATTTAGTGCATTCCTAGTCACTGGATTCTTATATATACTAGGGAAGGCATCCACTTTAGATGTCTCCAAAGGTAGTGGAGGTGCAAGCAAGTTAGAAAGCTCTTTTCATGTGACCATCAGCGTTTTGGGGAAAGAGTTATTGCCACACAAGAAGAGAGGGTGAGGCCATTTTGACTATCTTGCTTTTTTGTTTTTTTTTTTAATTTTATGTTTATTTTTTATTTATTTTTTTACAGTAACTGAGATATAATTCACATACCATAAAATTTACCTTCTTAAAGGATAATTCAATGTTTTTTAGTATACTCACAAAGTTGTGCAACAAGAACATTTCCACCACCCCCAAAACAAACATTTTACCCATCCCCTACTCTCCCCAGCATCTGGCAACCACCAAAATTACTTTCTGTCTCTCTGGAATGACCTATTCTAGACATTTCATATAAATGGAATCATATACTATGGGGTCTTTTGTGTCTGGCTTCCTTCACTTAGCATAGTGTATTTCAGGGTTCATCTGTGTTATTGTATGCAAAAGTACTTCATTACTTTTATGACTGAATAATATTCCATTGTACAGATGTGGTAACATTTGGTTTATCCATTCATCAGTTGACGGACATTTGGGTTGTTTCCATTTTTTGGCTATTATGAATAATGCTGTTATGAACATTCAAGAACAAGTTATGTATTGACATATGTTTTCATTTCCCTTGGTATATGCTTAGGAGTAGAACTGCTAGGCCATATGGTAACTCTATGTTTCATTTTTTGAGGAACTGCCAAACTGTTTTCCAAGACAGCTGTAGTATTTGACATTCCCACAATCGGTGTATGCTGGTTCCAACTTCTCCACGTCCTCGGCAACACTTGTTATTATCTTTTCGATTATAGCCATCCTAGCGGGTGTGAAGCGATGTATCATTGTGGGTTTGATTTGCATGTCCCTGATGGCTAATGATGTTGAGCATCTTTTCATGTGTTTATTGACCATTTGTATATCATTTGGAGAAATGTCTATTAAGATCCCTTGCCCATTTTTAAATTGTGTTATTTGCCTTTTTATTTGTTCCCCAAATGTCTTTTATAGGTTGTTTATTCAAACAGAGAATTTTATAATGGACATTCACCTCACATAGCTATGTCTCTGTAGTCTCTTGATATACCCCACTTTTTAAAAAAAGACATTGACTAAACTGCCAGGCTGTTTTATAGAAAGGTCTCACATTTGGGATTTGTCTAATTGAGGTATAGTCTAATTTGTTTCTCTAACCCCTGTATTTTTACAAAACTGAAAGTCAGGTTAAAAGGCCTGATTGGATCAGGTTTAATACTTTTGGAAAGAATCTCTCAAAATTTATGCTGTGTAATTTTAGCTTGTCTCATACTTTTTGATGCTAAATTTGATTACTTGGTTAAGATGGTGTGTTAGGGCTCTCCAGGGAACCAAAACCAATAGGATATGTGTGTATATATATATAGAGAGAGAGATTTATTTTAAGGAATTGGCTCACATTCTTGCAGAGGATTATTAAGTCCAAAGTCATCAGGGCGGTCCAGCAGTTTGGGGACTCAGAGAAGATGTACAGTTCAAGTTCAAAGGCAATCTGATGGCAAAATTCCTTTTTGCTTAGAAGAGATCAGTCTTTGTTCTATTAAGGCCTTCCATTGATTGAATAAAGCCCACCCACATAATGTATTATTTGCTTTACTCAGAGTCTACTTATTTAAATGTTGATCTTATCTGAAAAACGCCTTAATAAAAATATCTACAGTAATAATGTTTGACTAAATATCTGGGTACTGTGGCACAGCCAATTTAACACACAAAATTAACCATCACAGATAGTGACCACCAGATTCTTCCACTGTAAAGGTTTTGTGTTTCCCTTTGCAATTAGCAAGTAATCTGCTTTTATTTTTCCCTTTAGTCTTTTTTTTGAGACAGAGTCTCACTTTGTTGTCCAGGCTAGAGTGAGTGCCGTGGCGTCAGCCTAGCTCACAGCAACCTCAAACTCCTGGGCTCAAGTGATCCTCCCGCCTCAGCCTCCCGAGTAGCTGGGACTACAGGCATGCGCCACCATGCCCGGCTAATTTTTTATATATATATCAGTTGGCCAATTAATTTCTTTCTATTTATAGTAGAGACGGGGTCTCGCTCTTGCTCAGGCTGGTTTTGAACTCCTGACCTTGAGCAATCCGCCCGCCTCGGCCTCCCAAGAGCTAGGATTACAGGCGTGAGCCACAGCGCCCGGCCTTTGGTTGATTTTGATCTTCTTTAATTTATTCCAGCAATGTTTTATAGTTTTCAGTGTAGAGCTCTTGTACTTATTTTTTACTTCTAAGATTTTTAGGCTTCTTGGTGTACTTAAAATTTCATTTTCCAATTGTTTACTATTTATAGTATAGAAATACAATGAGTTTTCACATATTGGCCTTGTATTTGTGACCCCCACTATATCAATTTCTTTGACATAGTGGCTTTCTTGTAGGCACTTCAGGATTTTCCATATAAATAATCATGTCATCTGCAAATAAGGATTGTTTTACTTCTTTCTTTGCTACCTTTATTCTTTGCATTTCTTTTCTTGACTTATTATTACTTTGGTTAGGACATCTATTATTTAATTGAATAAAAACAGTGGAAGTGGATAACCTTGCCTTGTTTCCAGTCTTACGGGGGAAGCCTTCAATATTTAATTATGTATCATGCTAGCTTGAATTTTTTTGTAGATGATCTTCATCAAAATGAGGAAGTTTTCCTCTAAATTCTAATCTGTTAAACTTTTTTTAAAAATCATAAATGAATATTCCTAAAGTGGAAACTAAAAATCACTGATTTTAAACCTTTATTCTTTTTCTAATAAACATTCAAAGCTCTACATTTTTCTCTTAGCAGTGCTAAGTTTCAAATTTCATTAAACCTCTTTTTGTTCTTAAAACAAAACCTACCAAGAGAGTAAAGTTAGAGTACTTTGTTCAAGAGTTGCTTGAAACAATTATTTTCTCTTTGTCTTTTCTTTACTCATTTATTGTGACTAGTTATATGGCTGCAGATTCAATACATATAAGTATCATGAGACAAATACTGACATTTTGAAAAGAGGTACAAACCCATTTGCACCCTGATACAATTACCTTCCTGTTCTTTTTTTTTTTTTTTTTTTAATAATACTATGCCCTTTCAAATCAGATGTTCACCCTTTTATAAAGAGGATTTCAATTCAGAAGTTGGTGGTTTGGAACATGGAACACATTTTCTTACAAAACAGTGTCAAAGACGGTGGTTATGGTCCCAAGTTGGCCCCTGTAAAATCAACTTAATCCACAACACAACAACTCTTAGAGAATTCTGAAGGGAAACATGCTCTATAATGTGTATCAAAGGCTGAAGTGCCAAGAAGTGGCATTTCAAGAAGTATTTGGGTGATTGTAGACAAGTCAATCTCTCTAAAGTCAGTTACTTTTTCTTAAAAAACATGGTGATTATCAAGACTCATAGAACTTCGGATTTGACAAGAACCTAAAGGTCCACTTTTAATTTCTAAGATATTATTATCATGAAAATTTCAAACATGCTGAAAACTAGTATAATAAACATCTATCATCCCATCACTTAAATTCAGTAATTACCATATTTGCCTTTTCTGTCTTTTTAAAAACCATTTGAAAGTAAATTGAAAAAAATCATGACTCTCTACTCCTAAATGTTTCAGCATGCATCTGCTAAGACTAAGGACACATTCCAACATAAAAGGTGCTGGTAAACTGTTCCAGTAAATGGGTATATATATTAAATGTTTTAGGCCCTACAACTGCAGCTACTCAACTCTGTATTGGTCTGTGGAAACAGGCATAAACAATATGTAAACAAATGGGCATGGTTATATTCCAATAAAACTTCATTTACAAAAATGGCATTTAGCCCACAGGCTATAGATTGCTGATCCCTGCTATATAACAATGTTGTTACTACAACTAAAGTTAATAAAAATTCCCTAATATTATACAATAATCACTCCATATTCAATTTTTTGCAGTAGTCCCAAAATCTATATCGTAGTTGCTTTTTAACCAGGATGCAGTCAAGATTCACAAACTGCCATTGAAGATTTACTTTGGGAGCCCAATGATTCCATTCTTTTGTTTGCTTCCTGGCCTTGAGTGCCTAGGACACCACAGTAACAAAGGTGAGATAACACCATGAGAAATAATATCTGGTAACTTTGAGAATAGGCTATGCATTAATACATTGCATTTATTTATTTTTTTTCCATTTTTTAAAATTCCAAACATCAAATCGAACCAGATAATATATTGCATTTAAATAGAATCATTGAACTAGGCTGAAATTTATTCTTGTGAATACAGAATAGTAATATCTACAAATTGTGTATCAATCTGCCAGTAGCTACTCTATATACTACCAATATATACTATATAAAGTCAACCGTACATCAACAGTAACATCAACTAAATTAAAAACCAACAAACTAATTTAAAAGAAAACTATAGTTGTGTGTATTCAAAGAAGGGATCTAGTACTTACCTAGAAATAGAACAATCAATAGGATTATAATGGTAAGAAAAGCCTTATTCCAAAAAGTTGCAATTTTGCCCCAGAAAGCATATGAAAAAATCTTCTGCCATCTATAAAGCAATAAAATTACATCAGATATAAAAAAAAATCAAGAGAAGGTTTTGAAATACTTTCTAAATACTGAAGTAACATTTTCGTAGTTGTGTAGTAAATGGCGTGAATCACAGAAATTTAATTTTTAAATTTATTAATTCTCTGACATGACAGAATATCTTATGAAATAAAAAATATTCTTTCAAATTTAATAATAACCTGATTATCTTCATTTGATTATCTTCAGTCTGGTGGCTTAAATGTTCTAAAGTGAAAATAATTTTTAAAGTAAACATACATGAGCAAAACCTTAAAAAGGAATTCTTATAGTAAAATGTTATATTGTTCATAGAAGCTCTTTACATCTTTTTCCATAGTCAGAGTAAGGACTCAGATATGACAAAGATCTATTGGTCTACTAGCAACATTTCAGGAGTAGGGGGTGTAACTCTCTGCACATTTATTTTTATATAATACATTTTTAATGTCTACTCCAAGTAAAGGAGTTTCTCTGCTTTAACCATGAGTGAATTAAAAAAATTATCCAGGTATTACATATATACAGCAAAGTGAAAAAAATCTTCAGTATATAGCTTGATAAATTTTACACACACACACACACACACACACACACACACAGAGATATATGTATGTAATTACTACCCAGATCTAAACAGGGGAAATGAGATAGGTAAATAAATGGTATAGATGAAGAATGGTATAGTTGAAGAATATAAACGAAGACACAGACATTAGAAAGCATGAGTTATAAATGGCAAAGAGTGATAAAGTAATTCATCACACAATTGGAAAGGTAATAAACTTTGTACAGAGTATTTGAAATGAATAACACATTAATTAGTCCAAATGAGACATATAAAGGTAATAAGCACTTAAATATACTTCAAGCACTTACAAGTTTCATAAAAGTTTCACTTTAACATTATGACAAGTTATTAACTAATACCTTAAATAGTATTTAACTAATACTAGTTCCTTTGGTCTCTATACTTACAATTCTGAGCATTTTATATAGACATTATTCAAATTACACAATATTTACATTTTTTAGAAGAGAATATAAGTGACAATATCTTGATCTAGGGCCGAATGTAAATTTGCTTATTTCTTCAAGGGTCAACATGGTATAAAACGGAACACAAGAGACCCACTCCAGTGAACAACTAGCAGTTTATAATATGACTTAATTCAAGAGCAGCTAATAATAGCTAACATATGTGTCCTTACTATAGTACGGTTCTAAGCACTCTTACATGTTTTATTTCATTTATTGTTACAACGACTACAGGAAGTAGACTCTATTACTACTTCATTTTATAGATAGGGAAATCAGTCAGAAAGGGTCAATATTTCTTGCCCCAAAACACAGTAACATGCAAAGTTGGGATATAAACTCAAGCCATCTGATTTCTGAGCATGTGCCTTTAACTACTGGGTTACGTGAGAAAAAATTAGTGACTAAATAAAGAATGAAACATTTTGAGATTATGGTGATACAGATATAAAGGATAAAAAGATGTGGACATACACATAAGGACATATCACAAATGATTTTTGTGTATATACACCATATTTTCTTACCTATGTTTGTACATGAGGGTATATATATATTTTATTTATTTAATTATTTAGAGACAGAGTCTCACTTTGTGCTCAGGCTAGAGTGAGTGCCGTGGCGTCAGCCTAGCTCACAGCAACCTCAAACTCCTGGGCTCAAGCGATTCTCTTGCCTCAGCCTCCCGAGTAGCTGGGGTTACAGGCATGCACCACCAGACCAGGCCTGGCTAATTTTTTCTATATATTTTTAGTTGGCCAATTCATTTCTTTCTATTTTTAGTAGAGACGGGATCTTGCTCTTGCTCAGGCTGGTCTTGAACTCCTGAGCTCAAATGATCCACTCGCCGCGGCCTCCCAGAGTGCTAGGATTACAGGCATGAGCCACCACGGCCGGCCAAGGGTATATTTATATATCATGTGCACATATCACACCTAACAGCTATGTGATCAAGATGGTTAAAAATTATATTTGGCAGGAAAAAAAGACTGAGCCATAATGTATGTATCAATTTGATGGAGAAAAGATCAACTGATACATATATATTTGCAAATCCTTAAGCCTTATTTATAAATTAGATGTTTATAAACAATATCTTTTCTCTTCAATATACAGGATTCTACTGTTGCAAATATTACCAAAAAGCAAAAGAAGGAGTCGTTGAGGGTTTGAAATAAAACCTACTGGATGAGAGGCAGCATGATGGAGTAGAAAGAACACTGGACTGAGAGCCAGATTCTTGTCTGGAATCTGCAACTTACCAGCTAGGTGACCTTAGGCCACTTGCCTTCCCTGGGTCTCAGTGATCTACAGAATGAGTGGACTGGAAGAAATAATACCTACATTATTTTTTTTTCTTCAGTAAGGAAGAAAGAAATGATAGTATAGCTGATAGACATGGACAGAAGTTAGGAGAAATTTTGGCAGGTAAGGAGTAAGTTAAGTGTTGTGAAAGACTACCTGGACCCTGAGCTAAGTTAAAACTTTAAGTTTCTTCCAGTCTCAAGACTTTACTATACTTTAGTGGGTTATCACATTTATAAAAGACTTTTGTTTATGCTATGAGTATGAACAAATGTCTTGCAACATTTTTATGACATATGTATTTCACCATTCATACTATCAAGTTTCTGAATCTAAAACTGAACTCCCAAAAAGTGAATTATTACAAGGGTAAAGTGAGCCATTGCTTGGATTAAAATACTGCACTTGGTACTCAAAGACCTTAGACAGTCCTTCACTAAGGAACTAATGCTAATATATGGTTCTTATACTTTTCATATTCAGCACTTTAAATACATATACTCACAAATTGTGTGTGGAATAAAAAGTAGTACAATTGTCACGGAACACTAATGAAACTATTTCTTGGTTACATAAGGCCAAAACCAAGAATCATGTATTGGCTTCAGTTTCTAAACTGCCCTTCCACTGCCTCAATGAAACAGTTTTTCATCCATGCTATACTGTAAACACAACTTATCCATTTATGTTTATTTAGTTCACTGCTCCAATTCAGGTAAATAAAACAAAGGTAAACACTGATGATGAGACAGAACAGGTGTTAAAAATACCCATTGCTCTACTGTATCCTTAATCAACAGAATCAAAAGTACTAGACCCTTTTTCCTTTTAGAAGGGAGGAAAAAGTTACTTCGTTTTGTACACATAAAGTTTACATAAAGTGATATTTTACTATTACCTAAGTTGTTCGGTGAGTTTATTTTGAAAGAGAACCTTTAATACAATCAGCTGTCAAAAGTTGTTAATCTTGAAAGTTTTCCATTTTACACTCTTAAGCGTAAAAGAGCCAACCAAATACTGTAACGATTTGAAGATTTCATACCTCTGAGGAGGAATAAAAGGTAGACAGAAGAGTATAAGGAGTCCTATTTCAGCATAAAGAAAGGCTGCAACTGCCACCCATTGGAGTGTCATCGTTTTTCTTCACACCTAAACAGAGAAACACTTATTTTACTTTGTTTCCTTTCAATGACAACTGGGCTAAAGGCCCGGGCACGATGTTTTGTCCAGGGGGTTTACCGTGTCCCACCGTCCCCTAACCGGGGATCCGGCCTTCACCCGGCCAGGAAGGGGTCAAGGGTGGGCCGGGCGGCCGGTGTGTGCGCCCCCCTGAGGGCGGGCGGCGCGGCACTTGCCAGCGGCCTGCGGGGCGCCGCCGACTGCCCCTCCCAGCTTCGCGCCGGCCGCCGCCGAGAGCCTCCCTTCCGCCAAGGCCCGCGCTCGGGGCCGCCCGCTGCCCCGCCGCGGCCTAGCGCCTCACGCCGCCTCGGGGACCACGGCCCCCGGGGACTCGCCGGCCTTACCCTGTCCAGGGCCCGCCGGGCTCCCCGCGCTGCTCCGCGGCCGCCGACGCGCGGGACGTCAGACGCCGCGGCCGGGCGGGAGGAGGGCGCGGGGGAGGGGAAGGCCGCTCCCGACGCCCCGCGGGCTCCCTCCCCCACCGCGGGCTGAGCGCGCCTATCCCGCTGAGGTCACAGGCGGCCCACTACGTTTATTGGCAACAATTGTTTCCTAATTGGCGGTGGAGTGGGAGGATGACTCAAACTTTCGACCTGGTGCTTGGGGCTCCCAAGCGCAACTTCGGCAGGAGGGCTGGCTTTTCCCATCAAGTGTGGTTGCGGTGGGAGTTGCACCGGGCTTGTGGGGTCCAGGAGGGAGGACGAGATGGGGTGGTGCAAGTTCTGTGAACATGTTCAAAGCGCACTCTTTTCCTGTTGTCTCTTTTCCGTGTCCAGAATTAAGCTATGTTTAATAATGGGCCAGGATTAGCTGGTTGTGCAGCAGTTTGTTCTCGAGAATGTAGGAGAATCTGTAGTGTCACAACATAACTTTGTGGGTTTTCCCGTTCCTGTCCATGGGCTGGGAAGAGGCAATGCAGTCTTTAAGGTGATGTTTGGTGACTGGAAGGAAAGGTGGGTATGAGTCTATTCTTTCAGTTACCACTTCCCCCAAATCTGTGAATCATTAGAACTACCAAAGGTTTTTTTTCCCCAAGATTGATCACATATCAGGAATGTAAACCTATCCTCCTGGAGACAATTACTTTGTCTCAACATTAAACCAATGTTGAAAATAGATACAGAATATAAAAACATTTAAGCTGGTGCTTTTTCTTAATTTATCACAAATATACTTGATCACATGTAACAGAAAAAAAGACAAAAACATACTTAGGACATAAATTAGCAATAAGGAAGTTTTAATCGAACGTTTTAGAGTTCCTTGCCCTTCCTCACCAGTTCCTTCCAAACGTGGTGCACCTTACTCTGATGATGCTGCTGTGTTCACCACACTGGCAGCATTCACTTCAGAGTTAATTTAAAAACATCAAAATGACTAAGTTCTGATCATACCTTATTGTTTGTTTCTATGGTATTTATATAAAACGAAAATGCCAGTTATCTTTTTTTTTTTTTTTTTTGAGACAGAGTCTCACTCTGTTGCCCGTTGGCTACAGTGCCGTGTTGTCTGCCTAGCTCACAGCAACTTCCAACTCCTGGGCTCAGATGATCCTCCTGCCTCAGCCTCACGAGTAGCTGGGACTACAGGCATGCGCCACCATGCCCGCCTAATTTTTTCTATATATATATTAGTTGGCCAATTAATTTCTTTCTATTTATGGTAGACATGGGGTCTTGCTCAGTCTGGTTTCCAACTCTTGACCTTGAGGAATCCTCCCACCTCGGCCTCCCAGAGTGCTAGGATTACAGGCATGAGCCACCGTGCCCAGCCTACCAGTTATCTTTAAAAATACATTAATTGAAAAGTGAAAACACAGAAAGTACCCAAGAAAAAATATGGCAGTGCACAGTGCTTATGTTAAAATTGATTCACTCAATTATTCCCAAACTCTTGAATTAAAAACAATTTTAGATAAATGCTTCCTTATAAGTTTTCATGTTGGCAATATAGAATAATATTTTAATTACAAACTTTTATTTCAATCTGAGATACTTCCTTCTTGCAGTGCATATTCATCAATAACAAAATCTATTAATAATACTCCCAAACTATGGGACATTTAAAGTCACAATCAATTGCTGAGAGGCATAAAACTAACATCACTAGAGTATGAAAATTAGGTTTTTAAATAAAAAATAAAACCTGGTTACTATTCTCTAGGAAATATTTTAAATATGTAATCATCTCCACATTGCCTACCAAATTTTTTATATGTAAGATGTGGGGAGGAGTTGCAATTTTACCTTTTTAGGTATAGGTATTTTTATAAAGCTCTCAATCTTTTAAGGATCTAGAAGGCTTAAAATGTATCAAATCTAATGTCACTTAAAGAGTTCCATCATATCTTAGTTTTATAGAAAATACCACATTTAATTAAACTCTGTTACATATATTTAAAATAAATACCTTAAAGTGTGTAATTCAATTGGGAAGTACTAGTTTGATTTTCCAATTTGGATTTTTAATGTAACCCCTGAGTGCAATTCTATTGAGGAATTCTTATTCATTTTCATTCTATATGGATGTTAGCATTTGTTCTACCACTTACTTGCACTCACAGACTTCTTGTTAGCTTACAGATACTATATGAGTCATATTTAGTATTAAAATAAGTTTTATTTAAAAATGTTGAAAACATGATTCCTTTAGGAAAAAAATTTCCATCCCTCCACCTGCTAATCCACAACAGGATTCAGAGCAGTTTGGATCTAGCATGATGAGGATATTTGGACCACCTGGAGTCTTCTTTAAAACTATCTCTGAGGATGGAGTCTAGGACTGATTTTTAAAAATGTTCCCAGGGACTGTTTTTATACTAAAATTTAAAAGCCACTGATACAAAGTATCAGTGATATATCCACTGATACAAAGTAAAAACCAAGATGTGACCACCTCTAGTTTCAATGTAGGTATAAAATAAAGCATATATTAAAATAATTTAGGAAGTCCAATTAAATGCCATAATGGTCTGTATCACCATATGGTGATACATAATGTGATGATATGGTGATACATAATGGTCTGTACCACCATAATGGAAGTATCACCACTGATACAAAGCATCACTGATACAAAGTAAAAACCAAGATGTGACCACCTCTAGTTTCATTGTAGGTATAAAATCATAAATTAAAATAATTTAGGAAGTCCAATTAAATGCCATAATGGTCTGTAAGATAATCTAAAACTGCCGATGTGCTTGACAGAGCATTAAATATTCTTTTTTCCTGCCTTGAAGTTATCTTTTCCATCATGTACATTAAATGTTGATGGAAACACATGTATGGAGTTCCAAGTTCAAGAGCAATGTCAACCCAGTCCCAGATGCATTTCAGTGGGGTTTCCTCATATCCAGCAAACATGGCAGGGTTCGCTAAGAGTCCTCTTGCAACCATCACACCTACAAATTAAAGCACAACATATCTGTCCATACATTAAGAATCCAAGGTTATTAGTTCAAACTCAATGAAATAAATTGAGAATATTAATAAAGTATTATTATAAGGTTTCATGATGCCTTTATTACATTAGTCTGTTTAATTATAAAACTATTTTGGTACCTTTTGCAAACGAAGAAAGTTTAAATGTACTTTTAGAATTCTTAATTTTTTAAAGATTTCTACATTAAACAATTAGTATTTAGTTTCTTTAGGGTAAATCCAGATTGTCATAAATTGGTTGCTTAAAGTTATCTGTATCCTCCCATCTAGCTATTGATGTCATAGGGCTTGGCCCGGTATACCAATAATTTAAGGGATAATGAAATTGCATTGCAGTTCTGGGTTCCTTTGGCCACTATGATCACTCTTGAATTCATTAACTCTAATTTCTAATCTAGGTGTTTTATTTTCCTAATAGACTATCTGGAAGATTCTTAACTGGTCACTAAATATGATGGTATTGTAAGAGTAAGTGAATTAATTTACCCCAGTTAAAATAATCTACTGTTTCTAAGTTAGAAGAATTAACCTTATTTTAATAAATTGCTTGGCTTATATCAGTACAATGAAAAAATATGGCTCCGTGTTAAAGAAAACTAATGAAAGTGACAGTAACATTACTTCCCCATTCTCACTTATTTTTTCCTAATTAAAAGATAAAAAAATTCAAGTATTATTTCTTACCATCTGTCCCAGTAATCTGCCACACATTTTCTGCTTCCTTTAAGCTTCTGATGTCTCCATTAGCAATTACAGGTATAGACATATTCTCCTTAATTATTTTAATGGCATCATAATGCACTGGCTGATGTCTTTCTTCAACAGTTCTTCCATGGACTGTAATCCAGGAAACTCCTGTTGCTTCAGCCTTTCGACAAAGATCTACAGTTCTTGGAAGGTCATCATGGATCCTGTAATTTCAAAATTATATTTATCTGTTCACAACACGTAAATCTTAATGCTAAAATTAATTAACTAAAATGAAAATTCATGTACTAAATTAGTTAGCTTTGCTATATCGTATTGCCACTTCATGCCACTAAAAGTAAGATTATCTTCAAGGATTAGTTTCCACCCAAGATCTCAAATGTAGTTATTTCACTACTGGTAACAATAGGATGACAAACTCTTACCTAGTGCTCCTACCTTTTGTCTTTGATACATGAAAAAGCCATCAAAGTACTGTCATGGATGAGTTGAAAGATGCTATCTTAATATTTAATGTGGATGCCCCAAGCCCCAAGTGGGAGAACATAACACTTTAACCTGTCACCAAAAAACTGATTCCTGGTTTATTTTCTTTTCCTTGTGAAATTTTAGTGCAAAGATTTTTCCTATTTTCTATTCTTGGTACCAGCAATGTTTCTTAGCACTAATTAAACAGTATGTGGAAAAAGTTGAGGGAGGGTTTGGTAAAACTTTTTAATAATAAGGGGATGTTATACTTTCTGTTAAAAATACAAAGAGGAAGTTGTTCAGGATTATAAGTAAAAATTACAGTATATATTCATTTACTAAATGTCTTGTCTCAACATTTCAATATGCCAGTTACCAATTTATTTAGGATTGACACTCCCATACCACCAAGAAAAAGGAATATTCTTTTATTTCCTAAGTAATGGACTATCTTGTCAATAGATTGAAATATTGTCTTTACCTTATTTTAACAGAAACTGAAAATCTGGGGTTTTCCACTTCATTTCTTACTTGTTTCACCATATCTCGAACAAGCTCTGGCTTATTTATTAAGCAAGCCCCATAACCTTCTGCCATTGCCCACCTTTATAAAGCAAACATAAGAACAAATAAATCACAAATAGCTGGAAAAGAAGATAAAATTCTAAAAGCACTGAAATGTAGGTACATCTGTCTATTTCTATAGTGATCTGGAATGAAAGCAGACTTTACAAATTCATGTATCCTAGCCGGGTGTCGTAGCATGTGCCTGTAGTCCCAGCTACGCAGGAGGACTGCTTGAGCCCAGGAGTTTGAGGTTGCAGTGAGCTATGAGGATACCACTGCACTCTAGCTGGGGTGACAGTGAGACCCTGTCTCAAAAAAAAAAAGAAAAAAAAAAGAAAAAAAAAAGAAAAAAAAAGAGGTAGAAAAAACAATTCCTGGATCCAACATTTCTAAGTGGATCAATATGGGATTAGGAAAACATGTTCCCAGATCAAAAAGTACTCTGGGGAAATGGTTTTCATTGGCAAGTGAGAATATTAAATTAAAATTCATTCAACCAAAACAAATTTAAGTATTTGTAATTAATTGCAATTACTTCAGATTTTTTAAATTCCAAATTTGATGTTTATTGTGTATAACAAGAGGTTTTAGTAGCCTCAATAGTAGAAAGATATTTTTGGCTTACAGCATTCCAAAACCACTTAAACAGCTTATTTAACTCACCTAATGAGTATACAAATATGTCTAATCTGATTTGGATTATGCTGTACTTAAAACCTTGATTTTATTCTTTGGATACATTTTGAATTATTGAAAGATAACCTAGTATACAGTGCCAGTATGGTAGGGATATTATTGTCAAATTAAGTATACCTATCAACACTTAAATCCAACCAAATAATTGGTATAGAAAGAAAAGGTGATTGTAATAAGACATTTTTGTATGGGAAATTAATTAGGAGAAAACATGTGGTGATCTCCCAAATCACATTTACTAGATTATCATGTAACTACTTATGGATGAGCTTCAAAGCAGATTCACACAAAAATTCTAGTGGTGAGGGCTGAGCAAACACTTGTCAAAGGTCTATACATAGTTTCAGCCATCAGAAAAGACTTTTAAATTAAATTTCCCTATTTTTTTCCTTCTTGTTTTGAGCCCCAGTTTTTTAACTCTATTTTTCCTACTTTCTAATTTTTGGAAAACTAGAAAGATATTTTACCATGTTCACATAGATTTTTTCCTAATCTTTTTGAAAATCCTTCCAACTTCTTTAAGCTTTACCTCTGAGGACAACCACAGTTAATGTCTATTCCATTCGCATAAGGACAGACTATACGAGCAGCATCAGATAAAATTCTTGCATCATTAGCAGCAAACTGAACGATCAGTGGGCAATCACCTGATAAAATGAATAGCTCAATATTAAAATTCACAGGGAAAACACACACACACACACACACACACACACACGATACCAATGTCTAATGTTTGTATAGGCTAAAATAACTATTTTTAGCTTAAGAAGCATCTGCTCAAAAAAGATAACATTAAAGAAATTTTAATATTTTAAATTAAAAGCAATTTACCTGAGGTAAAAACTCAAGCAGTACAATACTGAATAAAATAAAAAGGAAAAATATTCTAACATTTTTGATAAACAGACCCTCTTCCCAAAGGTAAGAATTATAGTAGTCCAGAAAAATTTTACTTATTACCGTAAAATTTAAACCAATGTGAATGTTCTATATATATCACCATGCCTAATGCCCCCTTTTTTCCTGAAGTATCTGAGAGATGTAGTCAGACCTATTTTTTTATTTTTAGTGGGGCATTCCACTGTATGGTTAGACCATACAGTGTATTTCTATACTGTTTTTTCTTATTTGTGACTCTTGCAAACAATGCTACAGTGAGGATGCTCTTGCATACATGCTTTTGTATATTCATAGGTAAAATCTTAAGAGTAGAACTAACTGTTGGATAGGCATTTGACATGTAACACTGTAAAGGATAATACAAAATTATCTTCCAAGAGTTTATCTGTATAGATACATATCAATATGGAAGAAAGTTCTTGTTTCCTCGCAACTTATCCTAGAGTGTATATTCAACATTTGTATATTTTTATTTGTCAGCTCTCCTCATATTCTTTGCAGTTTTTTATATGCAATTTTTCTATTAGTTCCTTTTTTTATTTGCAATATTTTTTTATAAAACAAAGAAACTAGCCCTGGTATCATATATAATTTTTTCCCCCAGTTTGTAGAGTATATATGTACTCTTACATATGAAAGTTTAAATTTAAATATTTCCAAATGTATTAGAGCCTTCCTAGGTTTTAAAGTACATTTCTTCTCATTTTGGGGGTTAGTGTTATATACTCTGGTTAGGTATATTTTAACATTTCTAAAGTTCTTTTGAGGATTAGCTGTATGAGATTTACTAGGTGTTGATCAAAATGCAGATCTGGGCATCATCACCCCAGCTGCACGATCCAAGATTTCTATGGCAATCCACTGATTTATAGGAGTCCAGTGGTATAGGAGAATTTGGTTTTTTCTTAATGGAGATGTAGGGTGCTTTCCCTTTTGTAACTCAACAGTTATAGAATTTCTATTTAACAAACTTTTCTTAATATATTTTTAATACTGTGCTAGATGCAGAGGATATAAATCAAGTTATTTCTATAGCTCTAGCCCTCAAGGAGCCGCAAATCTAGAGGGAGAGATAGGCATATAAAGAGAATTATAATACAAATAGAAAGCATGAGTAGAGGGTAATCAAAAAAGGTTCCTTGGCCACAACTTTGAGAGCTGGATTAAGAAGCATAAAACTTAGTTTTCCAGAGAAAGAGGGATCTGGGAGATAGGCATAACTGGGAAGGATATTCTAGGCAGGGAACTATGAGACAACAGGGCATGAGATAACAGGGACTTAAAATGATTTAGTATTTTTGAAGACTAAAGTCAGTGGGGGCTGTGAGCAGAAACTGATGACAGATAAGGCTGCAGAAGATGTATTTGGAAGCTGGATCATGTAAGACTTTATATATTATCCTAAGGTGCTAGAATTTTAGTCTTTAAGACAGTGGTTCTCAACCTTTAACAAGCTCAGAATTGTCTGGAGGGCTTTTCAAAACACAAATTGCTAGACCAGAATTTCTGATTCAGTAGGTCTGGGATGGAGCCCGAGAATTTTCATTTCTAGTAAGTTTCCAGGTGATACTGACGTTGCTGGTCTGGAAATCACACTTAAAGAACCACTATTTTAGGCAATGAGAGGTCCAAGAAGGATTTTAAAGAGGCAAGAGATAAGATCAAATTTAGACAGGTCACTTTGGGCTTTTTGGAGGATAGTCTGGAATGGGACAAGACCAGAGGCAGTGAGACTGCAATCTATTCTAATACCCCAGTGAGAGGATGGGACCCTTAAGAAAGGCCGACCATATACTTTGATAATATCACAGATAATTTACAAGGCATTTAGTAATAATATGTTAAAAATATTTACTGAAAACATTTAAAATATTAAAAGATTTAATACATAATCTCTAAATTGTATTGTTTCTGATTAGATAAAATAGATGAGTTTGTAAAAAAATTAAAATGTTTTACAAAGTCAGCAAACTACATGTTTCACATACCTTGGTTTGTGGTAAATTCACTGTCTCTGGCTTTTATAGATCTGACAAAATCAGCAGCAACTATCATTGGTGTATAACACAGATCACAACTGTATTTTCTTACTAGTGTTCTGAAAGCCAACCTGTGAACATATAAAACCTTAATTATGCATTTAACAAACATCATAATCATATGTATTTCCAGATTTAATTTAGTTAATTATTAAATATTTATTAGGGAAATTCTGCCTCTGGTAAGATGGAGATTTACTTTTTCCTAGTCTTCTTGCTAAGTATAATTAAAAACCCTAGACATTATATATAGCAAACACAAGAAAAATTTGAAAGGCAGAAAAGAGAGCAGACAGGCTGGTGACCTCAGGAGCTAAGGAGTAACAGATTCGTGAGTTCCCTGGGTTTTCTTTTTGCCTTAAATATCCCAGACTTTAATCTGTCATGAGATTAGAGTTAAAAAAAAAAAAATCCCAGACTTGAAGTTGAAGAAGCTGGCCACCTGGGAACACCAAAGGGTGCAGACAAAAACAGCCCAAACAAAAATATGCTCTAACCAAAAGACCAGGAAAAAAAGCAGGCTAGAAAGACAGAAAACTTTTAAATAGAGGTTCTACTCCAGCCAAACAATACAGAAAAAGCTATGGTCTCACCTCTACTAGTAAAAGTCTAGAATCTGCTCCAACGTTACATTGTGGTGGTGTCTAGGAAGGCCAGGGAGGGATCTGGGATTTTCACCCCTGCTGGCCACTGAGCACCCCCCAACCCTACCACTACCCAGCCGGATCAGTGGAGACCACGTGGGGAGCCTGGACTCCCATGCCTACCTAGCAGTAATAAAGTATCCCTCTCCTTCTCTGCTGGATGTGGTATCAGGGGAGGCCTTGTGGAGAGTCAACACTTAACATTATTGCCCAGCAATTACAAGGCTGCTCCCACCATGGGGAACTAGAACTCTCACTCCAGCCCTGCAACAATGAGGGGTTCCCCAACCTCTAAATGTCAAAGGAGGCAAAGTGGAGAACCTGGACTTCTACCTGACAGTAATGAGGTGGCACCACCCCCGTCTACCTTTCCCTGCTGGAACTGTGTCAGAAAAAGCCAGTTAAGGCCAAGGCCAGTGGCTCACACCTGTAATCCTAGCACTCTGGGAGACGGAGACAGGAGGATCGCTCAAGGTCAGGAGTTTGAAACCAGCCTGAGCAAGAACAAGACACCATCTCTACTAAACATAGAAAGAAATTAATTGGTCAACTAAAAAAAATATATAGAAAAAATTAGTCAGGCATGATGGCACATGCCTGTAATCCCAACTACTCGGGAGGCTGAGGCAGAAGGATTGCTTGAGCCCAGGAGTTTGAGGTTGCTGTGAGGTAGGCTGACTTCACAGCACTCTAGCCCGGGTAACAGAGCGAGACTCTGTCTAAAAAAAGAAAAAAAAAATTGAGTATCTTAGAAAACATGTACATAACTTGCATGCTGAAAACTACAAAATGATGATAGAAATCAAAGAAAATCTATATGAATGGAGAGAAATACTTGAGAGAAATAATGGAGAGAAATTGGGAGACTCAACATAGTAAGAAGTCAATTCTCTACAAATTGATATACAGATTTCACAGAATTCTTCTGGAAATTCCAGCGAGACTTTTTGTAGAAATATACAAGATCATTCTAAAATTTATTTGGAAAGCAAGGGAACTAGAATAGCTGAAACAATTTTGAAAAAGAAAATTAAAGTGAGAGGAATTGGTCTACCTGATTTTAAGACTCATTATATAGCTACAGTAATTAAGACTGCATAGTGTAGGTGGAGGGAGAGACACATAGATCCATGGAACAAAATAGAAAACCTTGATTTTTGAAAAAGCAGCAAAGGAATTCAATAGAATAAAGATAGCCTTTTAAACAAGCAGAGCTAGAATAATTGGACATCCACAGGGGAGAAAAAAAAAAAAAGAACCTCAACCTAAGTCTCACACTCACACAAAAATTAATTCAAAATTGATCATGGACTTAAGGTTTTATACAGAACATAAAACTGTAGCTGGATGCAATGGTTCACTCCTGTAATCCCAGCACTTTGGGAGGCTGAGGCGGGAGGATCACTTGAGCCCAGGAGTTTGAGATCCTCCTGGGTAACAGAGCGAGACCCCATCTCTTTTAAAAAGAAAAACAAAACAAACCCATAAAACTATAAAACTTTTAGGAAAAAAATTAGAAGCAGATCTTCAGGATCTAGAGCTACACAAACGTTTCTTATACTTATGACACCAAAAGCACAATTTACAAAAAGAAAAACTGATAAACTGGACTTCATCAAAATGGAAAACTTTTGTTCTGCAAAAGATCCTTTTAAGAGGATGAAAAGACAAGCTACAACCTGGGAGAAAATATTTGCAAACTACTTAACTGACAAAGGTGTAGCATCTAGAATATATAAAGAACGCTCAACATTCAATAGCAAAGAATAAAACAAATAATCTGATTCAAAAATGGGCAAAATACTTGAATAGACATTTCTACAAAGAAGATATACAGACAGCCAATAAGCACACAAAAAGATGCTTAACATCACTAATCATCAGGGAAATGCAAATCAAAACCACAATTAGATACCACTTCATTTCCATTAGAAAGGATATAATAATAATAAAAAAAAAAACTCCCAGAAAATAAAGAGTGTTGACAAGGATGTGGAGAAATTAAAATTCTTCGGCACTGCTAGTGGGAAGGTAAAATTGTGTAGCTGCTAGGAAAAACAGTATGGTAGTTCCTCAGAAAATTAAACATCGAATTACCACATGATTCAGCAATTCCACTTTAAGGTACATAACCAAAAAGAATGGGAAGCAAAGTCAAGCAAAGTCTCAAAGACATACTTCTACAGCCACATTCATAGCAGCATTATTTACAAAAGGTGGCAGCAACCCAAGTATCCATCAACAAATGAATGGATAAACAAAATGTAGTATATACATAAAATGGAATATTATTCAACTTTAAAAAAGGACAGTCTGGTATATGCTACAAAAACTTGAGGACATTGTGCTATGTAAAATATTAGTAAAATAAACTAGTTTCAAAAAGACAAATACTGTGTGATACCATTTATATGGTACCTAGAGTAGTCAAAGTCATAGACAGAATGTGGAATGATGGTTGCCAGGGGCTCGGAGGACAGTGGAATGGGGAGTTCCTGTTTAATGGGTATAGAGTTTTAGTTTTCTAAGATGAAAAGAGTTTTAGAGGTCAGATACATAGTGTGAATGTACTTAACGCTACAGAACTATACACTTGAAAATCATGAAGAGGTAAATTTTATGTTCTGGGTATTTTACAACAGTTAAAAAAAATTTTAAGAACAAACTCAATAGTAAAAAACAATCCAATTAGAATATGAGCAGAAGACATGAATAAACATTTCTTCAAAAATATACAGATGGCAAATAAGCACATAGAAAGATGTGCAATATCACTATAAAGGAAATGCAAATTAAAGATGAAATGAAGTGTCGTTACATACCTATCAGAATGGCTGAAATAAAAACAGTGACATTATTAAAAGCTGGCAAAAATGGGGAGAAATTGTTGGTGAAAGTGTAAAGTGGTACTGCCACTCTGGAAAAGTTCAGCAGGTTTAAAAAAAACTAAACATATAACTACCAAAGGACCCAGAAATTGCACTGCTGAGCATTTGTCCCAAGGCAAAATTTTGTGTTCACCATTTTTATAGCTATAGAAAGAGAAGCTTGAAGAGGCTAATTGTTTACTTAGTGTCACACACATACAAGGCAAGTGGTAGCACAGGACTAAATTCTAGATTATGATTCCAAAGCTAGAAGTTTGAAGATTCCATGTAGTGGGTGGTCTTATAGTACTATAAAAAATTCAGGGAATAGAAGAGAAATTTCATCTTAGCTCATTAACCATTTAAGAGCACTTACTTTGAATATCGAACCATAGGGGCACAGACTTTTACAAGCTGCCCAGAATGAAACATTTCTATTGGATCTTTTTTTCTTTCTGGACATATTGTGGTTTGTATGCAGTCACTCTTCATGAATACAGATTTGTTTCAAATCTGAAAAAGACAATCGGTTTGCATAGAGAGAGTGTACTTTGACTAGATGAACCTCCATTTATCTAGCAATTTCAATTGCGAACACATTTTTTATTAGGCTTACAGGCTCAGAAATATTTTACCTTCTTTTAACAGTTTCAAATGAGATACTACAGAATTCTGCCTCTGTTTATAACATAAATAAATGTGGAAAACTATAGAAGATAGTGGAAAGACAAGATGTGGAAAACTACAAGATTTTTTCCTAGTGTACTATGTTACGATTTCTCATGTCACTTATAATTTTTTTTCATGTTGCTTTGGGATTGATAACTCAAGAAATTTGAATTATTTCATATATAATACTCTGTATGACTAGAACTTTATAATACCTTGTTTTATTCAGGAAAGTTAAATGGCATTAATAGAACAACTTTAAGTAGTCAGCTATTCTAAAGATATCCTGGTATTTTTTATTGTAATTCTCCAATCCTATTCTTTGTATCTGTGAATCAGAAGGTAAACAAACCTTATTTTTAAAAACTTAAATGTGGTATTATCCAAAAATATTTCAGCTATAATCTATACATAACTGCACAGTAAATTACTTTTATATCCTGAGATACAAGTTATAAAGTTATGTTTTATATTTGTGATAGTTAAAATCCTATCATTTCATAGTGTTGGCTACTTTTCATATTCCAATTTTTTTGCGTTAGTAACTTAGAAATAGATATGGGCCAACCTTAGAAAGGTGTAATTGCTCAAAATTGAGAGTCTTTAAACTTTAGGTAACGAGGTGAAACTAAAAACGTGGTCAAGGTACCAAGGATCTTGCAAGAAACCCTTGGAAGTACCAACATGTAAGTAACAGGTAGAGGAAAAGGGGACTGCAAAGGAGAAATGAGACAGATGAACTTTGGAGTTGGGAGGAATAAATCTAAAGAGTGATATTCAAAAACCAAGAGATGAGAGACTACTACAAAAGAGGGAAAGGATAAATACATTACACATCATAGAAAAGGTAAAGACAGAAAAATGTCCAATGGCAACACTGTCATTAGTGACTTTAGCAAGGTCGATTTCATCCTTATTCAATGGTGCAAAAGGTCTCCCTCAATAAGTATTTGCTGGAAGAATTAATTAGCAGCTCTCGACGTTGGTTGTACATTACAATGACTTGGGGAGTTTTTAAGAATTAGGATGCCCAAGCTATACTCTAGAACAGGTGTCCTCAAACTACAGCCTTCAGGCCACATGTGAGTGTTTTTGCCCGTTTGTTTTTTTACTTTAAAATAAGATATGTGCAGTGTGCATAGGAATTTGTTCAGTTTTTTTAAAACTATAGTCCAGCCCTCCAATGGTCTGAGGAACAGTGAACTGGCCCCCTGTTTAAAAAGTTTGAGGACCTCTGCTGTAGAATAATTAAATAGGAATCTCTGGGCTTAGGATGCAAGGATCAGTGTTTTTTTAAAGCTCTCCAGGTGATTTCAATGTGCAACCAAGCTTGGAACTACTGGAATAAGTAAATCCACAGCACCTGGAACAATTATTTAAATGGACTCCTACCTTATTAGCTCTTGGGATACAGTCTGAGTCTTATGTTTATAAACTCATGCCAGTATGTATAGTAGGGACTCAAAACTTTTCATTGTAAGAATATGCACGCTTCCAAAATCTTCCCATGGGGGGAAAAAGCCAAGGAAGGAAAACTAACGCACGAGACTTCCTCACCTCAGTTGTTAAGAGTATTAAGTGCGTTTAGACTTAGGACTTAGTGCTAAGTACTTATATAAAGTACTTAGAACACCGTAGGGTAAGTACTATTATAGCACCTTCTTGAAATACTGTTAGCGGAATGTACAGAACTACGTAGCTCTGGAATTATAAATTGGTTTCCTGGGTACATACCTACTGTACAAAGTGGAAAGTATATTACAGCTTCTTTTTGCGAAGAAATATTTAAGACCTTGTATACGTGTGGTTGACCCTGTTCATTTGTCAGTATTTCTTATAAGAAATCTAGGTCAATAATACAGATGTATTAGCAGAGAAAATATAAATGGGAACCTAATTGATGATTTTACGGTGTCAATATGAGTTGAAATACGGACAATCCATCAGTTTGTATGTAAGAACAAGTCTGGGGTCACTCGTAGCACATGGTTTAAAATGAGAGGAAGAGGTAGAAAAGCAAAAGGTCAAGGTCTCACGGAAGGGAGGGCAGAGACAAGAAATTCTACTTGTCTTTACACGGTTCAGTATGCCTTCTTCATCTACTCTTACGAATTCTCCTCACTGTTCATCCCGTGTAACTTTTTTTTCCTCAAGCTTTTCCCGCGGGATTTTACCCCAGGATTGCGAACGAAGACGTGGGACAGACAGAGCTATGCAGCAACTAACTCCCGCCTGGTCGAGTGCGGAGCGTAAAGGAAAGTCCTAGAAAGCTCGGCTCTCCTCTCCGGCCTTGCACCACGAGGCCCCTGTTCTCAGGTTTAAATACTTGCTTTAAGAGGGACGCGCAGCGGCCACGTTCCGGCGCCCACCTTCTCTTTGGCTGGGGGAATGGCGCCAGCCCGGAGCGGCGGCGAGAGGTGGCGGAGGGCGCCGACCGGCGGCCTTGGCGACCTCGCCGCGCGGGCCCTCGGCGCCCCCCTGCTCTGGCGCCTTCCCGGCTCCCGGCCAGCGGCCAAGTGGTTCCCCAGGCCGGCGTGGAGCCGCGGGCTGGAGGGCCGGGCGGCGCCGGGATTCTGCGTCACCGCCTGGGCGGGGTGGACCCGCCACTGACGCCATCAACCCGGCACCTGCCAACATGGAAGGTGGCGACGGCGGCGTCGCTGTGCCTGGCCTTGGGTCGCTGGGCTCTGGGGCAGCTGCAGCGACAGTCCGGGAGCTTCTGCAGGATGGTAAGGAGTCGGGGTCTGGCAGGGGTGTGGGGCTGGCGGTTGCCTCGCTCCGCACCTGGGCCAGGGTTGTGGACTCAACCCGTCGCTTTGCAGAAAGTTTTCCGGTCTTGCTGTGACCACTCCCCTCCGCCCGGCCCCCTGGCGTCAGGGTACTGGCCTAGCCAACCTGTTTCCCCCACGGGAAACAGAGGTTGCTTCCTCTTTCCTTTCAGTGTCTTTGGGACACCTGATTTCTGGTTGCAATTCCACCCCCCGACTCGCCCAGGGTTTCCCTCAAGTTGGGAGACTCCGCAGCCGGTGGCCGAGGTTGGAAGCCACCAGCTGCTGCCGCAGTTCTTGACGATGGAGTGAAGCGTTCTAATCCCTGAAAAGTGTAAAGACCTAGAAGACAGACGCTCAATGAAATGGGGGCTCATATTTTAAGTAGAGTTGGAAATGCCTACTACTTAAACAATTTTTTGGGCTATACAGGTGGTCCCTCTTGCAAGCTTGTTTGCTTTTTTATGAGGCAATTATCTACAGTCAGAGAAGGGAGAGGTTTGGAGCATTCCTTCAGGTTAGGATTAACCGTTTGTTTCGAATATAGCAGATTATTGCTAGTTAGTTTTGGTGAGAAGTTGTCCAAAAAAAGTTAAATATAGTACACTTGAAAAGCACATTTAATTGTATTAATCCAGTTACCACGTCCCGAATCTCTTATCCTTCAGAATATAGTTCAAACTTCTAAGCATAAAAATAAGGCCTCTTCTCACCTGTCTTAAGTTTTTCCTCCTAATGGCCATCACATTTTACCATGTATTAAAATCATTCGTATACTTGCCTTAATCTCTTTTACTGTACTGTGTAACTTTTTTTCTTAACATTCCACAATGTGCATAGCAGTAACTTGCATACAGTAGGTGCAAAATAAATGGTTTTGTTTTGGGGTTTTTGTCTTTGTTTTTTAAAGACAGAGTTTCACTTTGTTGCCTGGAATAGGATGCAGTGGTGTGATCATAGCTCACTGCAGCCTCAAATTCCTGGGCTTACTTAAGCAATCCTCCTCCTCTCTCAGCCTTCCCAGTAGCTGGAACTATAGGTGAGTTGCCACCATGCCTGGCTAAGTTTTATTTTTTGTAGAGACAGGGTTTTGCTATTTTGTCCAGGCTAGTCTTGAACTCCTGGCTTCAGTGATCCTCCTGCCTTGGCCTCTCGAAGTGCTGGTATTACAGGTGTGAGCCACCATTCCTGGCCTGGAATAAATGTTTTTAAACTGAACATCACTGTAAGATGCATATATACACATTTGTAGACCAAAATAGGTTATAAATGATTGAAATAAAGGTTTTTTTCTTTGTTCCTTGCACTAACTTGGGAGAAATAAAGTAATTATTGTTTGTTTTCTGTTTTATCATAGTCCTTAATTACTTGCTTTCTCATGATAATTTCTATATTTTTGTCAAAACTAGTGATGGTGTTTTCTGAACTAGATTGTGTTAGTTTCTCTAGGTTAGGTTCTCTAATACATCTTTGTGTCGTCTTTTTTTTTTTCTTTTTTACTTTTGTTTTTTCTTTTAGAGACAGGGTCTCACTCTGGTGCCCAGACTAGAGTGCAGTGGTGCAGTCATAGCTCACTGTAACCTCAAACTTGTGGGCTCAAGCAATCATCTTTCCTCAGCCTCCTGAGTAGCTAGAACTACAGGTGTTATACCACCACACCCAGGTAATTTTTTTATTTTTTGTAGAGTCAGGGTGTTGCTATGTTGCCCAGGCTGGTCATGAACTGCTGGTCTCAAGCGATCCTCCCGCCTCGGCCTCCCAAAGTGCTGGGATTACAGGCATGAGCCAATGTGCTCAGCCTGTATTTCAATTTAAATTCAGTTTAACCAAGTTTGGAGCTCCTGATATATGTGCAATACGTGCTCTTACCATCTAGTAGGAGAAATAAACTTGTAGACTTATAAAGGTAGGCACTGTAATATAATATTATAAGGATAGCAGAAAGATTGTGTACAAAGTAAAGCATTAATACAGAGGAGGCTGATAATTGATTAATGAGTATCAGGAAAAGGTTTCTAGGTGGAGTGATTTTGAATTATAAATACAACTTACCCAGGTAAACAGTGAAAGGAACAACACAGGCCAAACAATGGGTATATGTTTCACTAGGATGCATTTCAGGAATTGTAATCAGTTCTTGGAGAGTTTTTTTAAAGAAACTCTTTATTTAAAAATAATAATAATAAAAAAAGCTTTACCCTTTTCAAACCTCTTTCTTCAAGCTCAACAAATGACTTTCAACTTTCCTAAAAAAAATAGAATCCATCAGATGTGAACTTTCTCCATTTCTTGCTGTAATCTATAAATTTAACCTGAACCTGCTACTTAACCTGAATCTTTTGCTCCTTATTTCCCTTCCATTTTCAATTACAGCAGAAGTGGATTCTCTCCTCTTTCCTAATGGCAGTAACTCCTATTGCCTTTGGGTTTTCTTCCTGTCTTATCAGTAACCCAGTCACCCCCATGCTATGCTATTGAACTCACTTTGGAAGATAGATCTCCAGTGACTTTTTTGTGAATAAATCAAATGGGTACTTTTTTGGTCCTTATTTTACTTTAACTTATAATAGGGTTTGACTTGTTTCTTAAAATACTTCCATCAAGTGGGTTATGGGCTTTTTAAAAATTCCTAATTCTTTAGGTGCTGTTTTCCAATTTCCTACAGATGCTTGTCAGTTCAATTTGTCTTTGCTGCCCCCTCCCACCTCCAACATTTAGCATTAAACATTTCCATCAGTAACTGTGTTTCACTGTATCAGGGATTTATCAGGATAGGATTGGTGAGCAGATGCATAGCTTGAAAATTTATGAGGTGTTTCTGATGTGCTTACTATGGGATGAAGAAGCTATAAAAGAGAAACATATGATTTAAGGATTTCAGTCCTCATTGTGTTTGATCTTTGTAAACTCTTTGATACTAGTGACTGCTTACTTTCTTAAACTATCTCTTCTTTTGGCTTTTGTCATTTTTTCCTGTTTCTCTTTCTTTCTCTTTGAGAACTCCTTAGTCTTTTGGACTGTTTTCCTTTCCTCTACCCACCCCCAAATTTTTGGTGTTTTCCTGATTTCTGAATCCTACTTTCTCCATTTCTCTGTTGTGCATTCTAAAATTTTTTCCTAAGTCATCTGGTCTTTTTGTGGTTTTTATATGGTCCTTTCTTCCAAACTATAGAACTATATTTCTGTCTATTGGACATTTCTTTTTTCTTTCTTTCTTTCTTTTTTTTTTTTGTTTTTGAGACTGTCTTGCTCTGTTGCCCTGGGTAGAGTACAGTGGAGTTATCATAGCTCACTTTAACCTCAAACTCCTGGGCTCAAGCTGTCCTCAGCCTCTCAGGTAATGGCCCACAGGTGCATGCCATGATACCCGGCTAATTTTTCTATTTTTATTAGAGATGGGGTCTTTGCTCAGGCTGCTCTTGAACTCCTGAGGTCAAGCAGTCCTCCCGCCTTGGCCTCCCAAAGTGCTAGGATTACAGGTGTGAGCCACTGCGCCTGGTCCACATTTCTATTATATCTTGATAGTGAACAAGCATTACTAGTTCTACATGTGAAAACCTACAAATGAATAAATAGTACAAGTTCTACATATGAGAAAATGAATTCATTTTTTTTTCATTCCTTTCTCCTAACTTTTTTGTCTGGTAGTCTTTGTTACGTATGTTAACTATGTGGTTAGTTGAATGTGTGCTTGTTCCCCAGGTAGATTGAGTTCCTTAGAGGCAGAGTTTTGTTCATGTTCATCTATGTATATTAAGTGCCTAGAGGTCTAGCTTAGTGCAAAACTGAATTTCCTATGTCAGTTAATCAAGAAACTTGGGAATCATCCTTGATTTGTTCTACCTAACCACCTATTTTTAGCTTGTTACTAAATCGTCCTACACAGTATACTGTCTGCATATTTGTCAAATTTGTTACTTCTTTGACATTCTCAGTGCCACTGTCCTATCCAGGCTTTCATTATGTCATTTAGGCTTTTAATGTAGTACTTTACTAGCCCCTGTGACTCTGTCCATGTATGTGCTAGTAAATTTGCTTTCTGGGAAAATAGAAAAAGCCCTGATTTTGTAGTGTTTTCTGATTTCCCTGATGTAAATACCCTCACTACAGTCAATTTTACGATACCTGCATGTAATGACAATTGGCTCACAGAATTCCTGAAAATTTAACACTTGGCTCTTAAGAGCCAATGTGAGCCAATTTTTAGCACATTGTTGTGTGACTAATCCCTTTTCAGTCATCATCCATACCATTGCCAGAATTATTATTCTAGAACACGAAGCTGACAGTGCAGTTTCTTGACTTAAAATGAATTAGAACATTGTAGATATCTTACAAACCTCTTTTCAAACTGTCTTCCAACCTCTGGAACCTCATATATTATGTTTTACCATTTCTGCCCAATATATACACACTATGATCTAGACACACTGAAGTCAATATTTCCCTTACTTCTCAAAATATGCCATGGCATTTGCTGCTGCTAAACCTTCCCTTTACTTGGAATGGCCTTCTCCTTTCATTGTCTGGTAGGATCCTTAATTCTGAGGACCAC